TCCTCAAAAAGACAAGATATTGAATTAGTATGAAGTGTAAGATACCTGAAGAATGCACATCCCAAAGGTGTTGCCGAAAACTTTTTCAGAATCCTTATATAAACAATAAGTTATATCCCAACTTTCCGCAAACAAAGAAAATGCATCCGCTTTCTCAGGATCCAAAGTCCCTGATGCATCATTTTTTTAATCTGCTTCTGAGGTTTTATTACATGACTGCGTGCATTCAAAATCATTCTAATCAAGTTCAATTAAACTTTAACAAACAAATACGGCGGTTTAACATCATGGTTTATTAACACGACACTGATTCGTTTTCAATTATATATAAAAATAAATAATATAAACCTGCTCAGTTCAAGCTTGTGCCTGTAACACCATAAAACAATTGGCTTGGATTTGATTTGAGCCTTGCTAATCATGTAGTAAAGATTAACAATCTGCATACAACTCAGTTTACATTACGGACTCGAATTTGCAACATGATCCGTTGTCGCGCGCGGATCAAAACGAGTGTTTTTGTAAAAATGTAGTACAACGACAATAACTCGTAATATCGTTTCACGAGGATTCTTGATTAATACTAATCAAATAAAAAGGGGGGTTTTGGTCGTGTTCGATTGAGAAAGAGTAATTAACAAAAGTGATTATTGAAATAAGCAGTTGTGAAATAAGTGATTATGAAATAAGTTAATCTACCGATTTTGTTTCTACTATCATCGATTGTTATAATTTTAATATCCTAAGCGTTCATTCCTATCTGGATACAAACTCAAAAACAAGCGTGATAAGGTTTGCAAGATGTATGATCCTATTGTCCGGATTAAGCAAACATTATAAATTTTCATGAATTAAGCAAACATGATTATTCAGACACAAAAACGAATTAAGCAACATAAAAGTGTCTATGTTAGGATCATACAATCAACCAAATTGAATCAATATATTTCATGCAATTGAATTAAGCATACAAGAATATAAAATATCATTGAACGAAATTAAACGAAAATTAACATTATAACAATCTCAAGTGTTAGAACCTGAATTACGGTAGACCGACTCCAAAGTGATTAGTTCTCCATCGTTCTTTCCAGCGTACAATTTTTTCTCGTGAATAGTGATAATGAACCGTAAAAACAAGATAGCTGCTAAAAAGAAAAACAAGGGATCCGGTTCATAACCCAACTGGGTCGAAAACATAACCCAGACCCAAAACATGACCCAAAACTAAAATAAATCTAATGCTGCAGCTTCAAATAAAATTTTGAAATTATTTGCTCCGTATCTGACTTCGACTCAAACATGAAAGTTGTAGCTCCCTGTCTTAGCTTTCTGTCGACTGGTAAAACGCGTCGATCCGACTCCCGAAACTCCAGCTATGATCGTTTCCATAAAAGCTGCTAAAGTTGAAAATTAAGTACGAAAATTAAATAAAGGTAAATATAAACTGAAATAGAAAAACATTGTAAAATATAAAAAAGAACTAATCAAACAATGGAAATGCATAACTACAAACATGGAAGAATGTGTATCAAAATGCACTGATCACAACACTCTCGAGATTCAATAATAGTTGAAATTATCTATAAAAAGCAAATCACTGTGCTAAAAACGATACCTTATAACGAGATTTGTCACCAATAACGACAAACATTGACCTATGTCTTGATTTGATATCGTTTTCAATAAGAGTTATGATCCGCTCATCTACTTTCTTCCTCATTTCTCTACAATGAAAATTAAGCAAACATATAAGCCAGTATCCCGCATGAAATTGAAATTATTTCAATTCAAGTATTTCGACTTGGTTATTTTGTAACTGAGTCATGAACCATGAGGAATCAATTCAAAGTCATGATTTTCAAACAAAATTTTGAAATTAAAGAAAGAAAAAAAGAAATCGATAATGGAACCTGGGGAAGATGGAGGTTAACGGTAGAAGGTTAGGATTTAAGAATGAAAGAGTGGGCGAAAGGAGGTAACGGCTTGGGGTTTATGGAGGAGTTAACGTAAATGATATATGTAATATATACCTGCCCTTGCTCTCTATCAGTTTTAACTAACTAGGTAAATCAATGTTGTGTAGGTTACTAGGTTATCTTACATTATTTCTTTAGGAAATTACAATCTAATTCTATTAAATTTACAATAACACCCTCTAGTTTTTTTTTCTTATACAAACACTCACAATTTTTTTTAATAATATTAAGATATTCTTTCGTTCGTACAAACACCCTCTAGTAAAAAATCACACCCTCTAGTTTTTTTTTTCTTATACAAACACCCTATATTTGTTTTTCTTATACAAACACCCTCTTGTTTTGATGTTTCACTTCAAATTGGCTTGGTTTGCCATGCCCAGCCTGCGCGCCATTTTAGGTACATATGCAATTGGGGTGGCTTGATACAATGGATATATCGCCACCGCAGTGGGTAATGCCTTGTCTTTAAGTATCTTGTAATGCCCAATGTACTAGGTTTGACCCTCAACGAGGGCACTTTTTATTAAATTTTGTGATTTTTTATGATTTACTATTTTTACTTCTTTTTCCCTCACTTGTCATGCGTGTGAAAATGCTTGGGATTGTCTTATCTTGAGCTTATGACCCCAAGGTATTGGGTTCAAGCCTTGGGTGAGGCATTTCTTAATTTTTTAGCATTAGTTCATTTAACTTCATTTAAATTACAAATATTAAAATATTAAAATAAAACTGAGGATATTTTAGTAAATGTAATAATTTTTTAAATATCAAAGTTCAGATTCCCTCCCCTCCCCTCTAAATTCCCCGATTTGGGGGACGCAAAAAGTGTGTTTTGGAGGGGTTTTGCTCCCCTCTAGTCCCCTCATTAAATTTGAACCAAACACATTTAATAAGAAATATTCCCTCCCCACCTCTCATAAAATTTGAACCAAACACATTTAGTTAGAAATATTCCCTCACCTCCCCTCATAAAATTTGAACCGAACACATTTAATTAGAAATATTCCCTCTCATCCGCTCCATCTACCCAAACCAAACACACCCTTATGTTTTATATACAATACCAACAACTAACCGACTCCCACTTCAGGTTTTGTGCTTTTCTAATGTTAATGTTTCAAAAACAATTGGTTACTAATTTAGGTTTAGTAGTTTTCTTAATGTTTTAAAAAGTCTAGCCACCACTAAAACATACAATTCCATTATTGATTGCGTACAACTATAACCGATATATCAAAATCCACCGATATATAGCAAATAGCAAAGTTGACATATCACATCGGATATTCAAATTCCGATACATAATAGCGGTAAAACCACGATATACCGGTTATTTAACAACAAATGTTAAATATATGTGTGATTATGTTTAAAACAGTTTTAGGTTTGAGAATCAACTCGACTAAAATGTGAACTTGTTCTAGCTGAGACGTAAACCAATAGTTGGAAGGAGCTTTTGGTTGCAGTTGTAGAAAATTTAATCTGCATATGAATAATTTTATGTATGTCTTTCATGTGCACAACAGGTTTGTTTCTGCATGTGAATGTGTGATTTCAAAGGTCTTAAGAAATAAAAGAGGGGAGAAGTATAGGAAGAAATACACAACGGTAGTGTACAACATGCATTGCTGTTATTCGGCGCTTGCATGGATGTCAAAGTCAAAGTAATAATTCCTATGGATTATGTTTTTGTTTGCAAGAATAAGTGACCTTTATAGAGCTCACTGGATAAGGTACAACCTAATTAGATTATTTTTTGTATAGATGCCAGTAACATAAACATAGTAGAGATGTGCCTTTCTTGTTCTACATTTTACATTTATCAGATTCTCTTAAGAGATGTCTTATCCTCTTTTTTGTGCTTTCATTTGATTGCCCAATAATTGTTCTTACATTTTATTTGTCCTTTTTTAGGTTTAGGTGGTTGAAACTACCTAAGATGCCAAGTTATTGTTGTATATGAAAAAATTATAAGGAGATAGGAGAGGAATACCTCTGACAAGGACAAGAAATCCTCCTAAGTATAATATCTAAAACAAGAAAATAAAGGAAATTACTGAGTTGTGAGTGAGAATAAAGAGCATGACCCAAAAATTTTGAGAGTTGTCCATACAACAATTTTTTTGAAGTGAAATCATGAGTTATCAAGTTTGTGATTACCTGCTCTCCTCTCCCATAAAGTTAACTCACACAGTTAAACACTAAAACTTCACAAGCATGCAAATGAGATGAATTTCTCAGGTGTTTGTGATTACTTCCTCCCCTATCCCGTAACTTCACTCAAATAGTTAACACAAGAACTTCACAGGCATGCACATGAGAGATGACTTTAATAGCAAAATTAGTATCCTAACCTGAAAATTCTGACGACCACTTGCATTTAATTATCCCTTTCCACAGAGAATAATATCTCAAATACGACCACCTGACCACTAGAGAGTAGTTCAAAGTCACTAAACTAATAGGATAATGCTCCAAACCCCACTTAAATTTCTCAATCTTGTCCATGGCCCTATAGATTTACCAGATCAAAACTTCTATATATTTTCCTTCTATTAAATGATGTATGTTTTTTTGGTTCATTATATATTTTTATGATAATTGTGAAGGCTTAAAATTATTACTCATCAGATCGAAGAGCTACCTCGTGCATTTACCAGTATTTCTTTTATTATAAAGGATAAATTTTGGGAAAGGGATGACTGTCTATTATAATGAGTGTAATGAATTTCAATAAATACAACGCAAAAGAACATAAATCATACTACTGGTGGCAGATGCCCAAAGATAAACAGAAGAGGGTTATATAATTATAGTCTATGAGAACCTAAATGATTAACCAAATGAACTATTATGGTTTTGCAAAAAGGGCTAAAATTAAAATTGTGAATCTGCTTCCTTACAATCACCATCGTGTACAAACTGGTTAGTGGGGACAGAGAGCGTAAAAGAAAAACAACCAATCCTCCTACCTCCACTATCTCTATTGTTCTGGCCAGTAGATTAGGTTGTAATGCCTCAAAATCCTAAAAGCAAGATAATGGCAAAATCGATTAGTTTATGTTGGGGGGAAAATACATCCTCGAAAGGACAAGATATTGAATTAGTTGAAGTGTAAGATACCTGAAGAATGCACATCCCAAAGGTGTTATTGAGAACTTTTTCAGAATCCTTATATAAACAATAAGTTATATTCCCACTTTCCACAAACAATGAAAATGCATCCGCTTTCTCAGGATCCCAAAGTCCCTGATGCCTCATTTTTTTAATCTGCTTCTGACGTTTTCTTACATGACTGCATGTATTCAAAATCATACTAATCAAGTTCAATTAACTTTAACAAACAAATACGGCGGTTTAACATCATGGTTTATTAAGACGACACTGATTCGTCGTCAATTATATATAAAAATTAATAAAATAAACCTGCTCAGTTCAAGCTTGTGCTTGTAACACCATAAAACAGTTGGCCTGGATTTGATTTGAGCCTTGCTAAGCATGTAGTGATGATTAACAATTTGCATACAACACATTTTACATTACGCACTCGAATTTGCAACATGATCCGCTGTCGCGCGCAGATCATACAAGTGTTTTTTTTAAAATGCAGTACATCGACAGTAAATCAAAATATCGTTTCACGAGGATTCGTGATTATTACTAATCGAGTAAAAAGGGGGGTTTTGGTCGTGTTCGATTTTGAAAGAGTAATTAACAAAAGTGATTATTGCAATAAGCTGTTGTGAAATAAGTGATTACAAAATAAGTCAATCTACGAATTCGGTTCCTACTATCATCGATTTTTATAATTTTAATATCCTAAGCGTTCATTCCTATCTGGATACAAACTCAAAAACAAGTGCGATAAGGTTTGCAAGATGTATGATCCTATTGTCCGAATTAAGCAAACGGTATAAATTTTCATGAATTAAGCAAACATGATTATACAGACATAAAAACGAATTAAGCAACGTAAAAGTGTCTATGTTAGGATCATACAATTAACCAAATTGAATCAATATATTTCATGGAATTGAATTAAGCATACAAGAATATAAAATATCATTGAACGAAATTAAACGAAAATCAACATTATAACAATCTCAAGTGTTAGAACCTGAATTACGGTAGACCGACTCCAAAGTGATTAGTTCTCCATCGTTCTTTCCAGCGTAAAACTTTTTCTAGTGAATAATGATAATGAACCGTAAAAACGAGATAGCTGTTAAAAGAAAAACAACGGATCCGGTTCATAACCCAACTGGGTCGAAAACATAACCCAGGCCCAAAACTAAAATAAATCTAATGTTGCAGCTTCAAATGAAATTGTGGAATTATGTGATCCGAATTTGACTTCGACTCAACCACGAAAATTGTAGTTCGCTGTATTAGCTTTCCGTCGACTGGTAGAACGCGTCGATCCGACTTCCGAAACTCTAGTTATGATTGTTTTCGTAAAAGCTGCTAAAGCTGAAAATTAAGTACCAAAATTAAATAAAGGTAAATATAAACTGAAATAGAAAAACATTATAAAATATAAAAAAGAACTAATCAAACCATGGAAATGCATAACTACAAACATGGAAGAATGTGTATCAAAATGCACTGATCACAACACTCTCGAGATTCAATAATAGTTGAAATTATCTATAAAAAGCAAATCACTATGCTAAAAACGATACCTTATCACGAGATTTGTCACCAATAATGACAAACATTGACCTATGTCTTGATTTGATACCGTTTACAATAAGAGTTCTGATTCGCTCATCTACTTTCTTCCTCATTTCTCTACAATGAAAATTAAGCAAACATATAAGCCAGTATCCTGCATGAAATTAAAATTATTTCAGTTACAGTATTTCGACTTGGTTATTTTGTAACCGAGTCATGAACCATGAGGAATATATTCAAAGTCATGATTTTGATACAAAACTTTGAAATTAAAGAGAGGAATAAAGAAATCGATAATGGAACCTGGGGAAGATGGAGGTTAACGGTAGAAGGTTAGGATTTGAGAATGAAAGAGAGGGCGAAAGGAGGTAATGGCTTAGGGTTTATGGAGGAGTTAACATAAACGATATATGTAATATATACCTGCCCTTGCTCTCTAATAGTTTCAACTAACTAGGTAAATCAATGTTGTGTAGGTTACTAGGTTATCTTACATTATTTCTTTAGGAAATTACAATCTAATTCTATTAAATTTACAATGACACCCTCTAGTTTTTTTTCTTATACAAACACCCTCTAGTTTTAAAATAAAAAATCACAATTTTTTTAATAATATTAAGATATTCTTTCGTTCGTACAAACACCCTCTAGTAAAAAATCACACCCTCTAGGTTTTTTTTCTTATACAAACACGCTATATTTTTTTTTCTTATACAAAAACCCTCTAGTTTTGATGTTTAACTTCAAATTGGCTTGGTTTGCCATGCCCAGCCTGCGCGCCATTTTAGGTACATATGCAACTGGGGTGGCTTGATAAAATGGACGTATCGCCACCCCAGTGGTTAATGCCTTGCCTTTAAGTATCTTGTAATGCCTAATGTACCAGGTTTGACCCTCAACGAGGGCACTTTTTATTAAATTTTGTGATTTTTTATGATTTACTATTTTTACTTCTTTTTCCTTTGTCACGCGTGGGAAAATGGTTGGGATGGTCTTGTTTTGAGCATATGACCCCAAGGTCTTGGGTTTAAGCCTTGAGTGAGGCATTTCTTAATTTTTTAGCATTAGTTCATTTAATTTTATTCAAATATGAAAATAAAACTGAGGATATTTTAGTAAATGTAATAATTTTTTCAATATCAAAGTTCAGATTCCCTCCCCTCCCCTCTAAATCCCCCGATTTGGGGGACGCAAAAAGTGTGTTTTGAAGGGGTTTTGCTCCCCTCCAGTCCCCTCATAAAATTTGAACCAAACACATTTAATTAGAAATATTCCCTCCCCACCTCTCATAAAATTTGAACCAAACACATTTAGTTAGAAATATTCCCTCGCCTCCCCACATAAAATTTGAACATAACACATTTACTTAGAAATATTCCGTCCCATCCGTTCCATCTACCCCAAACCAAACACACCCTTAGGTTTTATATACAATACCAATAACTAACCGACTCCCACTTCAGGTTTTGTGCTTCTTTAATGTTAATGTTTCAAAAACAATTGGTTACCAATTTAGGTATAGTAGTTTTTTTTAATGTTTTAAAAAGTCTAGCCACCACTAAATCACACAATTACGTTATTGATTGCATACAACTATAACCGATATATCAAAATGCACCGATATACAGCAAATAGCAAAGTTGACATATCACATCGGATATTCAAATTCCGATACATAATAGCGGTAAAACAACGATATACTGGTTTTTTTAACAACAAATGTTAAATATATGTGTGATTATGTTTAAAACAGTTTTAGGTTTGAGAATCAACTCGACTAAAATGTGAACTTGTTCTAGTTGAGACATAAACCAATAGTTGGAAGGAGATTTTGGTTGCAGTTGCAGAAAATTTAATCTGCATATGAATAATTTTATGTATGTCTTTCATGTGCGCAACAGATCTGTTTCTGCATGTGAATGTGTGATTTCAAAGGTCTTAAGAAATAAAAGAGGGGAGAAGTATAAGAAGAAATACTCAACGGTAGTGTACAACATGCATTGTTGTTATTCGGCGCTTGCATGGATGTCAAAGTCAAAGTAATAATTCCTATGGATTATGTTTTTGTTTGCAAGAATAAGTGACCTTTATAGAGCTTACTGGATAAGGTACAACCTTATTAGAGGATTTTTTGCATAGATGCCAGTAACATAAACATAGTAGAGATGTGCCTTTCTTGTTCTACATTTTGCATTTATCAGATTCTCTTAAAAGATGTCTTATCCTCTTTTTTGTGCTTTCATTTGATTGCCCAATAATTGTTCTTACATTTTATTTGTCCTTTTTTAGGTTTAGGTGGTTGAAACTACCTAAAATGCCAAGTTATTGTTGTATATAAAAAATTTATAAGGAGATATGAGCGAAATACCTCTGACAAGGACAAGAAATCCTCCTAAGTATAACATCTAAAACAAGAAAAATAAAGGAAATTACAGAGTTGTGAAGTGAGAATAAAGAGCATGACCCAAAAATTCTAAGAGTTGTCCATACAACAATTTTTTTGAAGTGAAATCATGAGTTATCAAGTTTGTGATTACCTGCTCTCCTCTCCCATAAAGTTAACTAACACAGTTAAAAACTAGAACTTCACAAGCATGCAAATGAGATGAATTTCTCAGGTGTTTCTGATTACTTCCTCCCCTACCCCGTAACTTCACTCAAATAGTTAACACAAGAACTTCACAGGCATGCACATGAGAGATGACTTTAATAGCAAAATTAGTATCCTAACCTGAAAATTCTGATGACCACTTGCATTTAATTATCCCTTTCCACGGAGAATAATATCTCAAATACGACCACCTGACCACTAGAGAGAAGTTCAAAGTCACTGAACTGATAGGATAATGCTCCAAACCCCACTTAAACTTCTCAATCTTGTCCATGGCCCTATAGATTTACCAGATCAAAACTTCTATATATTTTCCTTCTATTAAATGATGTATGTTTGTTTGGTTCATTATATATTTTTATGATAATTGTGAAGGCTTAAAGTTATTACTTATCAGATCGAAGAGCTACCTCGTGCACTTACCAGTATTCCTTTTATTATAAAGGATAAATTTTGGGAAAGGGGTGGCTGTCTATTATAATGAGTGTAACGAATTTCAATAAATACAATGCAAAAGAACATATATCATATTGCTGGTGGCAGATGCCCAAAGATAAACAGAAGAGGGTTATATAATTATAGTCTATGAGAACTCTAATGATTAACCAAATGAACTATTATGGTTTTGCAAAAAGAGCTAAAATAAGAATTGTGAATCTGCTTCCTTACAATCACCATCGTGTACAAAATGGTTAGTGAGGACAGAGAGCGTAAAAGAAAAACAACCAATCCTCCTCCCTCCACTATCTCTATTGTTCTGGCCAGTAGATTAGGTTGTAATGCCTCAAAATCCTAAAAGCAAGATAATGGCAAAACCGATTAATTTATGTTGGGGGGAAAATACATCCTCAAAAGGACAAGCTATTGAATTAGTTGAAGTGTAAGATACCTGAAGAATGCACATCCCAAAGGTGTTATTGAGAACTTTTTCAGAATCCTTATATAAACAATAAGTTATATTCCCACTTTCCACAAACAATGAAAATGCATCCGCTTTCTCAGGATCCCAAAGTCCCTGATGCCTCATTTTTTAAATCTGCTTCTGACGTTTTCTTACATGACTGCATGTATTCAAAATCATTCTAATCAAGTTCAATTAAACTTTAACAAACAAATACGGCGGTTTAACATCATGGTTTATTAACACGACACTGATTCGTCGTCAATTATATATAAAAATAAATAAAATAAACCTGCTCAGTTCAAGCTTGTGCT